CACCCTTTGGCAGCCACAGTTTTCACTCTTGGAGGAGATTTGGCATGGAGGTTGAGTGTCTGTGTGAATACATAAACATGTGGATGAACGTGCATGTCAGTTATACATGGACGCAGCTATTATAAATTCACTCTATGGAGGAATGAATTCAGATTACAGAAGGATGGATTATATGTTTTTTAGATAAACAGTGACAGCCCTACTGGCTAGCTTACTGACAATTAGTAAAGCATCCGGCTTGGTGGGCTACTGTGGCTGGCTATTGTTAGCATGCTGTAAGTTAGCTACCAACTGCCCCACAGTAAGTTACCACGCTTCAAACCTCTACTCCTATTTGACATTTCATTTTGCACACAGAGAAAATAAATGTATCCACGTGTGATTGATGTGATCAAAAAATAGATATTTAATACCCTGTGGCCAATACAGACGCTTTTGTTCTACAGTAGCCCCTTTTCTTCTTCATGCTTGTCAGATCACAATGTGACTGTGAGGCTACATTAATAAAACCAGAATTTGCAATCAGACATATGACTAGGGACAGACCTTGTGAGGACTATGAACGGCCTCAATTTGACTGCATGGACATTCCCTAAGAAAATACAGTTATGGTAGAAAACAGGGAGTACAAAGTGCTCGCCACATAGCCAATTCTTACAAGCAATGGAAACGTGGGTAACGTTTTAGAATCCAATCCTTGATACAATCATTTTATTCTTAAACTATCGCTCAAAAAGATATGGGTTCAGAGAGCTGGAGAGGCAAGTCTAGAATTAAAAAAGACATTTATCTCCATTAAAGATGTTTTTCTGGCTAGTTATGGGAGCAGGCTGGAGGTGTGTGAAGCCCTCCTACCACCCCCCTCTCACCTACACACACTCAGTTCAGTCCTGCGGTGTGGCTGCTGTTTCTGCAGGCTGGCTGCTTGTCGTTGTAGCAGTAGTGGTTTCATCAGTAGCAGCCTGCGTGGGGTCCAGTTCGGGTGGTCTGGGAGCTTGGTGGATGCCCTCTGACTCTCTGCCCTCCTCGACTTCGCCTTCCCCCTCCCCATCCTCCTCGTCCTCTTCCTCGTCTTCCTCCCCGGCTGAGGGCTCCCGCGGCTGGGCTGAGGGAGGTGCCGTGGTCTCTTTGTCACCCTGCTCCTGGAGGAGACTGAGCCGGTTGTTGAGGTCGTTCCTCTCCTTCTGCAGGGCTCTGCACAGCCTCTCCAGCAGCTCCAGCTTCCCCTGCAGGGCCTTGAAGTGTCCGTCACGCAGAGTTTTCTACAACACAACACAATGTTTCATCAAGTGCGCTTTTTATCTTGGAAACAGCAGTTTGGGAAAAGTTGGAAGATAACAATAGTTAGACTATTATTAAGTGGACCTTGAGTGAAGCTTGTTTTCCACTTGTTTCATGCTTTTGTTAGCAGAAAGGGAATCAAAGGAAACAGAACAGAATTGACAGATACTATAACAGTAAGGCTCATGGAGTTGAACTGAAACAGCAACAAAACATATTCACAATCACAAGGAATATAATGGACTGGTTGCAGACATTTTGACATGTCATAGAGCTGAGGAGGTCCTACTATTGTGCGTGCTGGTTCACTGTCACTGGAACACTTAATGGAACGGAGCCATCCTGCTGTGAAAACTCTTTACAATCTTCCTCAACAGTAGAATAAACAAGAGTAACTGTTCAGACAGAACGCAAAGCAAATGTTAGAGGTTTGTCTTTCTGCTGAGCTCAACACACACACACACACA